AATGCCATCATCTTTACATCCTACACATAATCCAGGTTGAAGAGGGGAATCATGATGGTTTGGTTTTGTTTTGTTTTTTCACCCCAACAGAATTGCAACTACTTTCCTGTGATAGAGGTGGCTTTCACAGATGAGGAAACGAATGCTGAAGAAAACAGATAAAACAAAAAGGATTAGGTGTTCTCCAGTCTGCTTGCAACTTCCCATGGATGCCAGACGTCAGCGTGCAAACTGAGGACGCGCTGCAGTGTTCAGGCACTGAAAGGCTGCTGACGAATGCCTGACCAAAGGGTAACTGTGCAAAATACCCAGACCCACTGAAGCTAAAAGCAGATGAAGTGCCAGTTCTGCAATGCTTACTACAGTGCCAATCATTTATATGGCTTCTTTCTCCTCCTCCTCCCTTTTCAGTAATAAGCTCTACTTGCAATTCAGCAGAAATACAGCAGTTCTTCCACTGTGTCCTGGTGTCTGCTCAGCCAGGAGTTAACTTCATTAAAAAAACTAAAAATAAAGGCATTGCCACATGTAGCTGCCCTGGGGTCAGTATGGATCCTGAGGGAGTTGGCAGGGACTTGCCCTGGGCCCGTCCAGATGCAGGCAGTATGCTTGGGAATGTCCAGCCGTCACCCAGGACGTGCCCAAGGGTTTATTTAGGTGAGCAGAGTGGTAGGTATGGGCACTGCTAGGGTCCCATGTGTGATGATGGCAGTACCCAGAGTGATGTTTCCCATAGACTACCCATTCCCCTGGGGCCTCCAGCACCGACACCAGACTGACGGCTGCAGTCTGCTACTTTCACCTCTTTCTTCTTCATTCTAATCACAAAATGAAAAAAACAACAACCCCAAAACCTCATCTCCTGTTGCCAGCCTACTGTGTCCCATGATTTTTGTCACCACAGCTCCTTAAATGGCCACTTTCACACTGAACCTCTAAGCTAAGGATGCCAGGGCAGGTGTGGGATCCATGCTGGGAACATGAAGGCTTGTTGCTCTTCAAACCAGCTATGTTGCAGAGCTCTTTCCTAATGCAATGTCTACGTAGGCAGAAGCCTGGAGGTTTAGGGTTCCCTTTTTAAAGCTGTGATGCAGTCTTGTTATGCATGCATGTTTATGTGAATTAACTTAACAACATGAACTCTAGGTTTTCATGAAAATAACCCCAAAGCAATGTATTCCTGGCTAATACGCAAGCGCTCTGTCTTTGCTGCACTGAGGCTTCCACTACTGATGAACCTGCATCTAAAGCAACTGTTAGCTATCATTACCTGGCCTGGGAAGCGTATCACCTCAAGAGACATGTTACTTCAAAAACAAGGCACCAGAAACCACTGTTTTTTACTTTTCTTTGTAGCATCTTCCATCCTACAACAGCCAATTCTTACTTGACAGCTGATAATCCCTAGCATCCCATCCCTTGCAAGGATGGCCACAGAGGAGAATGAGCTGCTTCACTTGTCTCTGATGGAGAGCAGAGCTGTGAGGTATTGAGTACCACCACTAAGCGTAAATGGAGCGTATTAGCCTCACTGCCTGTGTCATTTGGCAGGCTGGATGCTTGGACAACTCCATGGTCCTTTTGCTTTACTACTGTGACCAGAGGAATGGGAGGCTTGAGAAGAGGCAGGAGTGTTGGCACTATGCAGCATTGGCCATTAAATGCTCACGTGCAAAGAGGCTTCTCGGCCTGCGATGAGTAAAGAAGAATGGCAGCTTGGCATCAGGGGAGGTAGAGAGGGAGCACAGAAGAGTGGATAGATACATGGAAGACAGTGAGAAAAAAAAAACCCTAATAAAATAACAGAAATAACAACACTGTAGTAAAAAACTTTGGCCTCTCCATTCAAACTACCAAAGTAAAATAGCTATTCTGGAAGAAAAAAGGTGTCCTGAAGTAATAATCTGGAACTTCTTACAGTAATGTTGCTACAGTGCTTTGGGCCAGTGGCCCAAAACATGGCATAATAAATAGTTCCTTGTTAGAACTGGAAAGGAATGCTAGACAACGTGTGCCCCAGCTTGCTGGCGTTACGCTGGTTAAGGACTTGATTCTGGGTGGTGCTGGCCTAAGTTCAGAAAAGCACTTGGATGTGTTCAGCTTCAGTGAAGCTGGTCAGAGGCGTGCTCAAATGCGGTGAGGCTGTTCGCGTGCTTACTTAGTGTTAAGCACACGCTTAAGTTGGCAAGTAAACTGGGCCCAGAGCGACCAGCTCTCTGAGCTCTACTTGGTCAGTTAGTGTTAAACCACTCTAATAAAAATAAATTAAAACCAAACCAGAACACCCCTGGATTCCTGTCCTTACGCCTCAGCTGTGGGTACAGGTGACAAGGCTCACCATCCATACCAGTGCACCAGACTTCTTTTGCTAGGCCGAGTAACGCAATCTGCCGTGCTTTTCTCAGTACGCGTTTAGGATCAGTTCTTGAAACACCTGATACACAGAGGATTGGTATCCCTCATCCAGCTCCCAGTTCCTCCTGTTGCATGTCCCTCTGCAGAGCGGGTGGGAGTCCCAGCCTTTCTTGCTGCCGGGTGCGCGTTGGCTCTTGCACAACTGAGGCGTGGGTGTAAAAACAAACTACAAGCTGAGTGAATGCCATGCAGTGACCATGAAGAGATGGGTTTTGCTTGCTTGTCCTCAACATTCTCATCGCTTACTCTTGATGGGTTCACAGCTGGGTTAGAAAATTATACTTGGAAGAGATGAAAAATTAACAGTTGCTAGGACTGAACCAGACTTCAGCAGAGACTCTGGTTATTTACAGGTGATGCTTTTTTTCTGCTTGGGAGCCAAACAATGCTTATTGACTGGCCACAGACTTTTCCAGGGAAAGAAATGCCTTTCTAGTCAGATGATATTCACAGATGGGCTGGCCTGTAGAGGAGTTTTGTTCCTTCACTGTCCTCGTAAGGTGCTTGCAGCCTGAAAGGAGTGTTTGGTTTACGTGCTTCAGTGCCATAGGTGCTGCTCTTTTGGAGACTTCACCCAGGCCAGTGATTCCCTGAAAGCCACCTCAGGGCTCTCTAGAGTCAATGACAGAGGCTTGTCAGGATGAGGGGAGCCTGAAGACAAAATGAATGCACCACCAGCTGGGCTTGAACATTTATGGCAAATCCACATGCCAGGAAAGTCCTATACATAGATGCCAAGTCTTGGCACGATTCCCACCAGGGGTATTTTCTCTTATTGAAGCTTGAACCAGCAGGTCTGATGATGCTGCAGTACCCATCACATGTAAATACAATTTTGCTTTTTTTATATTTATTTTTCTACTCTTTTTTTTTAAAAAAGGCAGTTCAGAGATTTACATTGTACTTAACAGGGAAGTGAATAATACCAGCACTTATGGTTCCTTTTAGTTATGTTTTGAAGATGGCATAGTAGTCAGGTAGAATTATACTGCTACGGTCTATGAAACCTAAAACACAAGAGGGAAAGGAAAAGAAAGAAGTAGTAAGGTAACTTCTTCACATGCATATTGCTCATAAAAAAACTGGAGAACTAATTGCTCCAGTGACACAGTTAGGCACCTTGATTCCTGCAGCACTGGCATCAGTGGATCCAAAACAGACTCACATTTCCTTGGCCCTCACCAGACTCAGAGTTCATAGGCATAAGCAGGTTGCACCAAAATCTACCACAGACATTAAAAGCTTTGGGGACATCCTATTAGGTCTCCGAGTGAGTTATCTGAGATCAGCTAGTCCTCTTCCAGTCTGCGCCATGTGTGATTCCACACAAATTGTCTGGTTTAGACAAACTTAGGCTCTTCAGCCAGGAAGATTTACACAGTTCAAGTATGATTATTCCTTAATGTCTGAGACTAAAGTGACAAGTAGAGCTAAACCGGCCACCCTTTCTGCAAGTGCACCCTGGATCTGGAGGCCTGGGCTTGTCAGCTCTGCAATGGTGTATATATTTTTTTTAAGTTTTGATTTTTCACTCTATCACAAATTAATTAATGTGTCCCACTACTAAAACGACACTTCTTTGCTCAGCTCATGCCACTGCTTAATGACATGAATAGCTGATTACCTTGCTAATGATTTTATAATGGTGATTTATCTAATGATTTTATAATGGTGATTTATCTAAGTTTGTTTAAAGGAATTACTCTGTTTTGTTTAAGCATACTTCCTTCAAGTGTGTATTTCCTGAAATAACCAGTAAGTCTTGCTATACTTCAGACAAACCCTTATTTCAATTTTGGTTATATTAGCTGTATCTCTGACTATGCCTGGGCCAGACTTGGTGAGCCAAAGCCACTAAGTGCCTTTCAAATACAAACTGAGTTACCTCAGAGGGTCACTGCTCACCCCAACACTGGAAGAGGAGCAAAGTACTGCCCAGAAACCTGCAAAAGCCAAGCAGCTGGAGAAGCTTCTAGAAAACTAAACCAGTCTATCTGTTTGTGGGATGCTAAAGGCCTCATGGAAATCAACAGAGCTTTCAATAGACCTCAACCTGTAGCAACATCCCCTTTAAAACAGCCTCATCCTTTCTAAATTTGTCTCTGCTCTCCTGCAGAAGCGAGCCAAATGTCCCTCAAAGGCTCAGGCACCGGGGTCAACAGACCTAGGCCAACTGCACACCCTAAAGCTTCTCCCAGCCCTGGGGGCTTTAAGGCAGCTGGTCGGTCTCCAGCAGCACTCCCTTATCACAAACCCCAGTGCGACCATCACGGCACACTCTAGCAAGTAGAAGGGAGATCACTTCTGCAAGGGAATATATGCATAATACATGTGGTGAATTTTAATGTCATTATTAATTTATACACATAAAAATCCCCTAATACAAAATTAATTTTGCTTTAAGCTTTTCTGTATTTTTCTTAAAAGTATTAACTGCATTTTTTATGAGCACCTAGCTGATGAATCTATTAATACACAGGCAGCTCCAGTTTTGCAGCAGATCTCACTCTCACCTGTATGCAATACCCAAAGCTTGTCTTTAACATCTGACAATGGGGAAGGGGGGGTGGTGTCATTTTTGAGTTGCAAAGGCCAGACTTCAGTGGAAATGCTGGCTCTACAAGAGTTCCCTGTCTTCCTTCAGACACCAACTATTTACTTTTGATATCAGAAGAACAGACATGCAGCTAGAGCACAAGGATTTAAAAAATAACATAAAAGGAGGTTACAATTGATTAAACAGGCGGCGTGCGCCTGCATACTGAGTTCATCTTTGAGAGTTTCTTTTACAGCCTGTAATTCTAAATATTGTCTAGACCTCATGGAGTGTTCAGTGAGTGTTGGAAAAACAGCTGCAGGAGGTTTTTTAAAAAAAACAACCCAGCAATATTCATTGATAGGCCTAAAAAATTAATCTCAGCTTACCTTGTTAGATGCCTACTTAATTCATGAACTTCCATTTCAGTGCTTTTAAATTCATTAAGCTCTTTTCGAATGGCTGCCTGCAAAGGACAAATAAACTCATAAATGTATAAATGGGAGAGATCAAAATAAGTTCACTTTGTACTCAAAACAGTATATTAAAAGTGAAGCAGATAGATAACATTATCAGAGAGAGAAAGAAAAACATAAACAAGATTTTAAAATGTGAAAAGAAAAAGAGATTAATAAGTTCTAAATCACATAAAGGGAAGAGATAACTGCTTTGGTGGAATGGCTCAATTTGAAAACCTAGACAATGCAGATATGGAACCCAATTTTGGCTTATTACATAAACACTTTCATATACAAAATCCAAATTAGCATAAGCATCAGGAAAAAAAAGCAAAAAAAAAAAAAAAGCACACCAGAGTATCTCAAGCACTGCAATCTGTTTTAGAACTGGACCTGACACCTACCAGGGTCATAGTTGAAATGTCTCGTGCCTTTATGTGGTTCTGAATTCCCTCAGGTGACATTACCTAAGATGGCTGAACTTAT